TGACACTTGTGGTCTTGTACGGTGCTAGATCAACGTGGAACCTAGTGGAAAAAGGAACATACTGTAAAAAGGTTGTCTGGAAAACGAGGGAAACCATGGGAAACCCTACAAGACTACAACGAAAAGTCTATTCAGTGTCCAGGCCAGTTTCAGGCGCTGCTAATAAGTGAGTATCAGTGATCGTTTCAAGTATTTTGATGATTGAACCCAGTGGCTGAGGCATTTCAAGTGACATGAAACCATCAACCAGGTAATGAATGTTGATTAAAATTAGATAAACTTAGTTATTATGACAATGATATATGATGATATATGTACATTTATACATCACTTATACTGCTGTTGTTGCAGTTTCAAGTCGCATGATATAAACAATTCCGGCTGCCCAGGTCGGGTTACGAATTAGCGCACTTGCGCACAGCCTTTTGGTCAGCGCTTGTGAGAAGCGTGGTGCTTGGGAATGGTCACTTCGCTTCTGTTTCTTGGATGATTTGCGCTGGACGGAGTCCCCACAAAGCCAGGTCGGTCGGCTGAGCTGTTTGTTTTGCCCCACATTGACGTGTGGGGTTTATATTTTAGTGTTGTAACCGTCCCGCCCTCCGCCTCCTCCCGCCCTCGCTGTGCCACTGTGATTTGCGTGGCAGGCGTCGTACTTTGGTGTTCTCCAGGGGGTCGGATGTACGCCCTGGCACTGGCTGGGGCTGCTGGGTCTCCGCTGTGCCGCTGTGATTTGCGTGGCAGGCGCAGTACTTGGTGCTCTCCGAGGGGTCGGATGTACACCCTGGCGCTGGCTGGGGCTGCTGGGTCTCCGCCGCTGTGCCGCTGTGATCTGCGTGCTAAACTACTTGTCACCAACCAACTGTCATCAATGTGGGGTTATCCGGTCCTATAATCTTCTAGCTCATGGAAGACAGAAACCCCAAAAGGGTCGATGTCCTGATCGGAAAGAAAGTTTAAGGACCATCAACACCATGTTGTTTATCATCTCCCTATAGTTCAGTATTCGTGAAGTAGACATGATTTATCCAAACATATCCACACCGTATCGGAAGACACCTTCTACTGCTTCGTGCCGACGACCGTCGGTCCACGGCACTGGGTCGTTCAGGTTCTGGACGCTTGGGGACGCTGTCTGGGACGTACAACTCGGTGATGAGTGCCAGTGAGAAGTCGACTTACTGGCCAGTGAGCCTACAGCTCTTGGGTGAACTGCGGGCGAAGGAGGCACCTTCAGCACCTTGAGGGAGTGTTTTTTGGTGTCCAGTCCTAGAAGTCACGTAAGTTGAGGTTCATTGAAGCAGTGACTTTTGGGACTTCAACATTCAATCAACTGTGGCTGTTGCAGTCGAGGTTCTCCATCCATCCATCCCTAGACAGAAAAATGTCTCAGGTGGAGCCAAGCAGCGTGAATTTTTGCACAGCCATCAGTGCCACGGAGCTTCGGTATAGTGGGACCTGGGTGGTGAGCAAGGAGCTTTGGAGCGGCAAAACACCAAAACACCAGACCAAAGAGTCAACCGACAGCCGTTGTTCAGCAGAGACATGAGTAGTGCATGAGTCATTCGGAAAATAAGGGCAATCATCCTGGCAACAACTGCTGTCAACCCGCACAAAGGATTCATGTAATTTCAGTTGTGTGAATGTCCAAATCCAAGTGGGACATTAACATAAATTAACGCTTGTCTCCATCCGAAATCATTTATGTACTGGCCCCCAAACATTTTAACAGGCTCTTGTACGACCGCAACTTGCAAGTCCACAAGTACATCGGCTCACCGGCTCAGATCGACGCGAAGCCGATCCGTCGCGATCCGTGGTGGGCGTGCTTGTCTCGTCGAGGATCGTGGTGAGCGGCCGGATTTGGGCCTTGCAGTACTTTGGGAGTCCCTTTGGTTGCCGCTGGACTTGAAAATCAGCATGTTGCCATGGTCCCTGGCACGGCTTGGCATCAGTGATCCTGCCTGGCTGCATCTGGCGTGTGTGGAGCTTCTGGAGAAGCGAGGCGTATTTTCGACTGCGGGGTGTTATTTGATTTGTGGATTCTACTAGGCTTTTCGGTTTCAACATGTTCTACGCCAGGCATGTTCAAGTAGATCACATGTGGGATATAGGGTGTGACATGGTGTGACTGTGTATTTATTTAGAAAAGAGGGGACCGCAACGAATGATGTTTGACCAATTCTTCCATTTGGGGTGGCCTTCTTCTTATTTTAAGAGCTAGCTCAGTGCGAAAGCAGAGTCGCTTCACCCTGGCGGAGGAACTCTTAGCACTGTGAGCAGCAAGGAACTTTCAAATGTTCCTCGTCGGAGCTGGGATTGGTGGGGTGTCATGACTTACCCTCTCCAATTCCAATCATATCAGATATACCTGTAGCAAGCTTCTGTGGGACCCATTTTAGTATATAGTGGAAACCACCATGACCGATGTCAGTTCCAATTTACGACCTACCCGATTCCCACGTAGGCTGAATCCAGATGACTTCGACCCGATTCTGTGTGGTTCGAATCGAACTTGTGCGTGTGTCCGCATAGAATAATCATGAATATGCGTTCCATATCCTTCCATTTTGGGATTCATTTGACTAGTTCAAGTAGATATGGGCCGCAGCTCTATACTCTCTATGCATAAACAATGGGGTGGAGCTGCCCCTTTCAGTGAAATGAAGCCGTTTCCCATGTTCTTTCCAAATCCAGCTGTAGCTTCACATCCCAGGGAATCCAGTAGGGCAGTAGGGAATCCAAGGTCTCCGGATTCGTGGAAAAAACGCCTAATCACGAAAGGTAGCCCTTTAGGGGATACCTTGAGTTTGTCTTGCGAAGCAAGTGTTGGGACGTCCGGGTCTAATGATTGATCACTCAATTCAACCCCCCCCCCTCGAATTGATTTCTCAATACAGACCCCCCCCCCCGCCCCCTTGGAATTGATTTTTCAATACAGACCCCCCCCTCTAAATTCAATTCTCTCCTGGAGAACGTCTTCGTGAGCCTCTCATGATTTCCGGATAGTTGAAACCCTCTTGAACATTCAGAAAGAGTGCATATGAAATTCTAATCACGAAAGGTGTTCCCCGAGGGGATACATACCTAGAGTTTGTTTTGTGAAGCACGTCAATTCTCTCCTGGGGAGCGTCTTCGTGAGCCTCTTATGGTTTCAGGATAGTTCAAATCCTATGATGCTCCGATTCAATGCTCACCGATGATCTGAGCCATGGGGCAAGTTTGTTTTCCTAAGAATATTTTTGAACATTGCATTTTTGTTCCTGCCTCTCGCGTTCTCTTCTCTTCCCGCTGTCCTACCTTTCGTGTCTCCCTCCTCTCAAGTCTCTGATGGGAACAGCTCCTGTTTATTCCAATTTCGTCTTGACATGATGGATGCCTTGGGTTTGTCGGAACTTACCTGTAACAGTCAGTAAACAATGGTCACTATTTTTGAACAAGGCCTTTACTAACCATCATCATCCACTGTTACAGGTATTAGGATAGACCCAATGGATGCCAACACTCGCGCCTTTTCCCAGTTGGACCCTCATGTTTCAAGCCTTTGCCTCCGGGCACACGGGCACTTGACCTCCGGAGAAAGGGGCACCAGCTCCGTCAGTCTGACAAGGACACTGGCGAGCGATCACAACTTCTCAGTCCAGAGTTGGTTCCTTTATATTATACCCTAGGGCTCCAAGTACCTCCTCAGAAGGTATTTGGACCCTCTAAACCCACCCCAAACACCTTCTCAGAAGGTATTTGGAGCCCTAGGGATATATATATATATATGGTATTGGATTGTTTTTTCTCATCGAGCTCTGGAGGTAGAGGTCAAGATCACTTGGTACCCCTTCGAACTCAGCGAAACCGCTTTCCGAGAAAAATCTCTTGGACTCCCAACAGTCGCTCGCGCTTCGCTTCGGTTTTGGGTGGGCAGGTTCCGAATCCATAGCGCCTTTCAGAACTCTGAGCTGGTTACCCTCCGAGTCACTAACATGGAAGTGGAAGATGGCCTGTGGGAAGACCATATTTCCTCTACACACACCCCGTGTTCGTCAAGGGGTATAGCATGGTATAGCTTAACAGTCCAATCCAACCATCTTCTAAGCCCTGCAGATCTTGGGATTGCCGCTCAGACGTGCCTCAAACGGTTCAGGTAGCTTGGTCCTTGGGAATGTCGGCGGTGCTCCTTCCGGCTGTCCTGGCCTCAACTGAAACCAGTAGTGGCCTAAGATGGCCTAAGTAGTGGTCCTAAACGATTTCAGTTTATGATTGAGAAGAGATCAGTGTATAAACTCTTCCAGAATAGGCAGACCCCGGCAGATCCCCTGCATGACCTCTCTTCAATGGTTCCAGCATTTGGACGAGTGTACTGGCAGGTCCAGTTTACTGCAGGTACGGTCATGGCTCCATACCGAGCTACAGACCTTTCAACGCACAGTCATGACGGAAGGGTCACCGCCTTTAGGTCCAAGGTCCTTTGGCGCGGGAAGCCGTGGCACGGCTGCGACGGACGGGTGAAGATCGGCCGCGTTTGAGCCTGGACGACTTGGTGAACACAGCGTGGGGCTTCAGCAGCGCTCCGGATCCTGCCACCTGGGCCTAGTGGGGATGGGGCACTGCCTGGCACAGGTGAAAAGACTGAAATGACCACATAGAAGAAAGACCGCAAGGCAAGTTGGAGAAAATCAAGAGCGACATCCCAACATTGACTTGCCACAGACTGTGTGCACCATTCGGCCACGGATGAGATGTTTGAAGGAAGCAAGCATTGTTGCTTTCCTCTGCAACTGTAGAGCTCAGACTCCACAATAGCTAGCTGAACCCAGTTACAGCCTTTTTGAATGCTCGGTCCCAAACTGCTTTCAACCTCCTCCTTGTGCATTTACACGCTAATAAACATGGACATCATCCACCCCAAAACGTCCAATGTTCATCTCATCCTTTCCATTGCGACTCAGGGCCCAGAGCCCGCTCTATGACGCCCACCCGAGGCACTCTATGATGCCCTCCAAGCGGAGATGCTCCGGCACGTGGCGCGCAGGGCGCACACGGCGCCCACGCGAGATGCTCCAGTCTCTGAGTGGTCGGACGTGGTGGCGGCAGCACTGGGGACGACCTGGGCGTGTCGCTTCGCAGATATGCTGTGACTGGGAAATGCAAAAGGGGAGCGAGAAGGACAGTGTGTGGGTCGTTCTTGGAAGGAAATGTTCAAAAGGTATGAATTGGTCTTAGGATTTGGGAGTTATTTTTTTTTAGAATGGTATTGTCATGCGCTGCCCATGTTGGGATCTTACAAGCCTTGGAGAGCCGAGGGAGAACAACCTCCATGCTTCAGAAGTTGTTTTCTCCTAGTAGACCCTCTTCAGTGGCAGGAGTCATGCCAGGATGTAGAGCCGAGCACCAGAGACAGAGACATGAGAAATGAAATGACAGAATATGACCATCATTAAACGTCCCATTCCTTCGCCTTTCTCCCGTTTTGAGGCACCATGTCGGAGAGGATCTGTTCTATCAGGTGCAACATCTGATCCCTATGTTTCGAGGCCCCAAACACCTCTGACATGAACAACCCTGCCTGAACCCAAGGAGGCAGGGCTACCCCACCCACCCGGGTAGGGCTGATATTTTTCGACTCCGACTCCGGACTCCCAACCTCAGGAGGCTGCCCTTTCTGCGTGCCCTGCGTGCCACTTGTGCCCGCTACGGTGCCCACCTGGACCGACGCCAGCCCTTCTTGGGCTACAGCCGCCTCCCCCCAACCGACGGACGAGCCGGCGTGTCCGTCGCGACGGACACGCCGTGCGTGGCCGAACGGTGGTCGGAGCGAATGGTGCTCTTCAAACCGAGTGGCTGGGAAGTCTTCGGGGAGAACTTCCCAAATCAACTCTTGAAGCTCCTCTGCATCGGAGCTGGGGAGCTGGGCTGTTGGACGGCCACAAAAAGAGGCAGTTCACGGCAGCTTCGTTGGGGGTCGTTTAGGAAAGCTCATAAAGACTCTTAGACAGTGGAGCATGACGTGCCTGGGAGACCAGGTTCGGTTCGTGGAGATGGTCGAGGAGCGGTAACACCTTTAAACCGATTTGCTTCAAGACGTCTTACCCCTTGCAGACAATCTTCAGGCTTCCTTGGGCCTTCAACCGTCCTTCAACCAGACATGTCAACCACCCCCACAGCCGCAGAGTCCCTGGAGCTTCATGACGTTCAATTTCTTTCCGTTCAATTTCTTTCCATGGCCTTCCAGTCTCAGACACTCACAACATCTCACAACAAACATCCACAGATCTAAACCCTCATGAACCCTGGCCATGGCTGGTGGGCTGAGCTCCTCAGCGCAAAAATGAACCCCATGAACCCTGGCCAAGGCTGGTGGGCTCCCTAGCAACCTGGAAAGGCCAAAACCTGAACCTGAACCCTGGCGCCTTGCCAAAACCGGCTGAGGACCTATGTCCGGCGCTTTGCAGATGGTCCCCTGGCGCGGGATCCTCAGCATCGTTTCGGATTCCTCCACCGCTTGGACGTGCCGACCAGCGGTCTGATCCTCTGCGCCAGCAGCTACCAGGCGAGGAACTCGCGGCGAGGAACTCGCGCTCGGCGGTCGGAAGGAGTCTGCGGGAGTGCCTGGCCGGACGGATGGATCATTGATATTACTGTACATGATATAACGTTGATTTGTTTAGTCTTGGACTTCATTGGATCATAGATAGATTGCATGCATGAGTGATTTAATTGGATACACATATACACCCTGACAGCAAACGTGTGGAACATGATGAAAAGAAAAGCACTGGCCAGAGAAAAGTGGTGCAATCCCTTGAAGTTCCATCAATGATCACCAAGCTCTTTTCCTGGTAGGGACCGGTATAAACTTGGTGGGACCGGTATACTTGCTGGGACCGGTATAAATTACACGGCCCATGTTCACACCGGGATCCTTGACTGTTCCACGCCCGCCACACGAAGCAGCGGATGATGTGATGGTCCTTTATGAGCAGAGGTAAGCAGAATAGACTCTTGGCTATTTGAAATACTCTTGGAACAACGGTGTCCTGGGATTGGAGAAATCCCAGGTGGTTAGATGATTCCTTATTGCTTTAGATTTGGGTCATTTGTGCCCAGCGCAGCCGAATTGGTGACTGCGCAAGCCTACTAGGAAAAGGATCACACTTCACACACTGTAACACTGAAGACTTGAAGATGTTCTTCCCAGCATGTGGACCACAGTGAATAATTCCCTGCCTTTGCAAATTTTTCTATATTCTATATCTCAGCTTGAGCAACTAATGTAGATCGCTGCTCAGAAGCAGTTCATGGGGCCTCACAATCAAACGTGTCAGAAGCATCTGAGCAGTATCTACAAGTGACTATATCCATCATAGACGTTGGATGGTCCAGGTCCAGATCATTCCACAAGAGAAGTCGTACAATTTTGGTGTCAAGAAAATCTCCACATATCCCCAAGGAAATGTCCACATACCTCAAGTTAAGCTACAGGACTTCACAAGAGGGTGGCATATCAAAGGGTTTCTCATGCCAATGACTTGTTAACTCCTATACTTCTAAAGAATCCATTGCAGAGCAATTCGTCCATCGCAGTCAACTCATACCTCCCAGGCATTCTTCGACCTACAGCTGCAGTTGCATGCAGGCCACGCACCGGTCGGTAGATGTGGAGATCGGTCGAAGTGGGGAGAGCGTTCCAGGCCGCGCGAAGGGAATGAGGAAGCCAAGTCTATATAAAATGTGTTATTTTTTCCCCAAACAGCTTTGCTGTGAGGGGTTCTCAATTCTAGCATAGAAACGATGGAGTTCAGTGTGTGTTCTCTTGGGTTGCAGTTGTTTTTCAACAAATGGAGTTCTGAACGTTAATGACAATCCTTTCAAGTCCTAAAGGAGTGCCCTCGTGATGTGATGATATGTGGGTTTCAGACTGCATGTGATGTCAGTTGCCCCTCGTGTGTTACGACGTGTGTGACTGTTTGCTTCAAGCTTGTATTGAACTGCTTCTTGGTGGGTGGACTCGTTTCTGTCACAGAACTGTGCCACAGGGACTTTCTTGCCAGAGAAGCCTTTCCCACAAATAAAGCCTGATGAAGCCGCCCATCGGGCTTCCATCGACCCGTGCCTTCCAAGAGTCCAAGCGGTCCAAGCGCCGTGCCAACCCCAGGGCATCCAGTTACCACTATAGCTGGTAACCAGTGGTTCCAAAGACTAAAACCATAGACCTAGAATCCCTGGTTCCCTATATAGTGGTAACTGAGATCCACTAGGAACGGTCTCCAGGTGAAATCGAGCGGGACTATTTGCTGCTTTGCCATGGGCTTTGCCAGCGCCATCACTTCGATGCAAGCCTTGCATGGCGAGGGAATGAGCCAACTCGAGCTGCTGGGCAGGGGAAGCCCTCCAAATCCTGGGCCCCTCGGTGATGAAAGCAGATGGAGATGGAGATGGCCCCAAGGACCATGGAGATGGCCCCATGGACCCTTGTCAGAGCCAAGGGCATGTGACTAACTGCCATTGATATGCTTCAAACTCATGCTGGGACATACAGGAACAGCTTGATACTGAGATAGATTGAGATAGTTATTTCCTTACAGAGGGTTGTGTTCATGTCACCTACTTCGAAAGATGTGGAGGATTCTCTGGGTTTTCTCGTATCACCGTTCGCTTTCTTGTGAACTGCCCAGGTCAAACCCATGGCCCAAGGCTTCTTGAAACAGGAGGCCATGACCATGGCAGCAGCACGCATCGGTACAGGCACATCGGTCACAGTGCCCAGATGTGGAAGAAAAACCAAACCTCGGGGTGAACCCGGTGTTCCTGTTTGTGGATTCATGAAGACCTTAGAACAGCCGTGTTCTACGTTCTTCTTGTTGAGTTCTTCCGTTCGCCTTGCAGATGTTGCAGCACCGGGCCGTGCGTTCGCGAAGCTTCCAGGCCGGCGGCATCAACTTCGGAGTCACTTCTCCTTTAGCGGGTACCCAGTGGTCTCAGATCAGTTCTACACTTCGGAGGAGGTCTTCCAAAGGCCAGACTTGGCGACCAACCAAGCAAACATAAGCAAACGATGGAGCTGATCTAAACTGTTGGAAATGAGTTTCATCTAAACAGCACACTAAACTCACCTCCGCACCTCCCATCTAAACTCAGAACCTCTCACCCGACTCTCACCAGCTAGGGTCCCGGTTCCTTTCACCCACCCAGGGACTGCACCTTTTCGGCGAAGACCTTCCTGCATCGCGTGCGCTTGAGCTTCTTCGCCGGAACGCCTTCCGAAGGCCGCCGGGAGGTGCTTTTGGCGCCTCCAGGCGGGGGGAGAGGGATGAGAGGGATCGGGTTTTGATGAGAGCAAAGAAAGAGGTCTTGGAAGATGTGTTTTGAAGACTGTTGAGAGGACATGATGAACATATGTATGAACCATATAACATATAACAATAAAATAACGTAAAATAACATATGATCCACAATATGGAGATGTGATGGTTCAGATGATGCTTGATAGGTGGGGATTATGTGATGTGTTTTTTGTTCTGGTGGGGTGTTTGATGATGCTTGATTCAGAAATCAGTTTACCAGTTCAGAAGTTTTGATGTTGCGTCGCGTTGCAATGAGTTTTAGATAGTTTGTTTTAGTATGTTTTAGTCACATATATGTTCTTTGGGGGAACGTTGCAGTGAATCGGGGTCACGGTCACGTGTTACGGCGAAACTGTAAGGTCGGTGCACGCCCCTCGAGCCAGCCCGACCTTGAGTACAACCTTGAGAAGCGTTGCAAGGGGGTAGTTCATGGTACTAGTAGTCTCAGAGAAAAGGGAACACCCATCTCGTTGGCAGATAGGTAATTATATATGATTATATATGATTATATATATGTATAATACATATATATATACAACAAGGGTGAAATACGCTCAAAAGCTGTTTAAAGCCTTTGTTCAGGTCGCTGCGAGAAGTAGGAAAAAACATCTACTGGGGCACTGGGGCATTCTCGGTAATGCTCCATTTTACAAGCTGTTGTGCCACATAGCTACAGGATTACTGTTGGACCCCCCCCGGCAAACATGGAAGTGGAGCCTGTTGGAAGGCGGATGAAGGCTGTGCAAGCTAGGGATTCTGAGGATGTTGGAAGGAGGTCGCTGGTTCCCAGGTGTGGGTGACTGGTGGCTGACCAGAACTGAGGACCACAGGATTTGATCTGATGGTTCCATTCAAAGTGTGGCCATCCACTTAAACCATGCAAAACGATTCTTCATGTTGTCCTGTGAAGGCTCCCAAATCCGGGTGATTTGCTGCAAAAGACTTCAATGCATCAGATTTGGAGGTGTCTCCCACCAGATGAACATCTCCAATCTGGTCCAAAAGTGTGGGAAGCCATGGACGGAAGTTCCCAAATCTGTGCGTTAGCTCCAGAGGTGAGAGAGATAGAGAGAGAGAGAGAGAGTTTGGACATGTTGACATGTTTGGACAGTTTGTTCTGCACATTCCGGGCTCGCCCCTCCCCAGTTCGTTCATGAACCAGGCTCTTTCGCCGCGGCTCCTGCGCCGTTCCTGGCTCCTGCCGGCTCCGTCACAACCCCCCCGGCTCATGTTGCAGTCATCATATCATACCCAACCCACCACTCTATCAAATGGCTAGCAAGACTCCCCCGCCCATATGGTGATGGGTATATCATGTCCATCCTTTTTCTCCCCATCCAATCGACTCCTGGGGTGCCCCAAACCTGCGAACGGCCTTGCTCCAGACTTGGCCTTGCTCCAGCAGCTGAACGGCCACGTGGGCGCGGATTACGGCCACGTGGGCGCGGAGATACGAGTAGATCCCTTAGGGATATACAAAATATACAAAGCAACATAGGATCCCTTAGGGGTTGCATCAAGAATTTCCCACATACCTCCAACTGATCCTGTCAGCCACTTGCATCTAGTACACGCTTTAGATATCATAGTAAAATGAGTACGATATGTATAAAGACAATATAGACAATGTGCTGTGAATGAGGTAGACCCAACACCAACTGGTGTGCGCGGCATCAAGGATTTTGGCAATCCATCCACGGCTAAGTCTTGATTAGCACAATGCTATCAAATACCTGCAAACCCAAACATGCAAACCATGCACATCGAAAATGCTGGTGACCTGAATCAGAAGCCAGCGTCCTCACTTTCGAAGCAGGGTCACGGGCCTTTCTTTTGAAGCAGCCGGGTCACGGGTCTTCTTTTCGTGCATCTTCATCGTTTGGGTTTGTCCGACTGCTCTCCCGTCGCGGTCCTCAAGCCTGCTCTACTGCTCTATCAGCTCAGACCATCTGAGGCAAAGACGAGGTCTCACAGAGGCTTTTGAAGGACTTCGCCTTTGACAGTGACAATGCTGTCCAGAGAGCTGATCTGAAGAGCTGGAGAGTGGGACAAAGGGAGGAACATGCAGCTATGACTGAGCGAGATACTGTTATCGGTGAATCAGCTGTGGATGAAAAGCTACAGCATAGATAGAGGTGACTGGTAGATGACGAATCCGCAAGAAGTCGATAAGATGTCCTTAAGAACGCTGTAAGTTACTGTGTATGTAATATATATATATATTTTTTATGTCACAGTGGGCATATCTTGTCACACCGAGCAGGCAAAGGATCCAAAGGCCAGAAGGACAGATTCTGCGCTGCCCCTGGGGCAGTGGACATGTGCTTGGAGCCGATGGCTTTACACAAAGGAATGGAGTGCAGGGTTTTGTGTGAAAAAATAAGCTAAAAAAATAAACACGAGAAACTGCTTGGGTGTCAATCCACCAAATTAGGAAGATAGAGAGTTCGATGCGTGATGTTAACTGGGCATCGGGGACACGCAATTTGTGTCACGAGGGATGGTTAGGGAAGTTGAAGTGGTTTGAGTGCCAACCAAACACTTCCAACCATTTCCAGTTGGTGCTTGTTGTGTAGCTTTGGATCAGTACCTTCTCAGCTTCGGTATGACTGGACCCTCCTGGCACCTACATAACAGATCATAACAGTGTCGAACACATCACCGTACGACTGGATCTCCAGGGATTGAAGTGGATGGCCCTGTAGATGATGGCACTCCAAGAAACTAGGACATCCAGCACCTGCAAGAAACAAGATTTGGGTGTCTTAGATCATGAACATGTGTTTCCTTATGACTGGAGGGGGCACGTCGTACGTCAGGAGCGAAGAGGAAAAGGTGTGATCAAGACACAGCTCAAGGCGGAACTGAGCCATGTGTCCGTCGAACCGGGCGCGCTGAAGCGTGGCGGCGTGACGAGACGAGACAACCCCGCGAGGGAGTTAACACGAAGCCAGACGGGCTGTCTGAGCGACACATCAAAGAAGATTCTTTTCACTGCAAACTGTGTTTTACAAACCTGTCGGAAGGTCATGGTTCGTCTCTCTCCGCTAGCAAAAGACTTCCCCATTGCGAAGCACCAAGCTCCCAGGAGAAAGCCAAAGGTAGCCACTTTGACCATGCCAGCGTCGAGAAGGCGAGTGAAACCTGCGGCTGTGACATCGGCAAAGCGGAGATGGCAGACGGTAGGTTCTGTAGGTAGACTCGTGTCGCTTGGCCTTCTTCGTAAAGGTTCTTAAGATGTTGTTGTGGAGATGGCACAAATATGCACAAAGCTTCAAAAGGTGGTTACAAGCATGTTCATATGGAAGCCCGTCTAGAAGAGATTTCGGGGTTTGTGCCATCTACTCTGAAACCACTATATTATGCATATGTTACATGGACATGGAAAAGGGCCCCAAACTGGAGCAGAACATGATCGAGGTCGGGCGTCCATGTGTTCCATCTCCATATCAACCCTCACTGTTCAAAACTAATTGCTTAAAACATCTTAAAACAGTAGTATGTAGGTGGTCTGAAAGGGACATACTTCCTTCACTTCACTAGTGCGAAACGCAGTCTTGGACTTCTAGAGTCAAAGTTCTCACCAGTACGGCTACTACACCAATCCGTCAGGCCTTGAGGTTGCGACCGTGCCTGGGTCCAAGTCCTTTTCCATGTCGCCATGTTGCACGGCATGTAGCACTGGACTCCAAAACGGAAACCACGACCTTCACAGGGCTCCAAGCAGGTCGGTGTAGCCGTCAAGTTTTATTTTTATTGGCCTGCTTGCCCTTCATCGTACCAGTTGGTCGCACGTGGCAATGGTGCGCAGGTCAAGAAGAGGATCTCATGGCTCAACGATAAAGCAGGTCTCCTGGCCTGAGGTCGGTCTTTTTCAGCGTCGGTGCCGGCGAAGAAAAACTTAGACACTTAACCAGCCCATGTTGAGCAAGGTTGGAATCCATCATTGATGTTTGAGCGATACTGTTGTTTTTTTCTCGTGGTTTTCAACTCATTCAATGCCCGTTCTAGAGCAACGGTTCACTAGCGGAGCCCTCCTGTTGCGGGCAAACGAAGCAGTGCAGACGTGTTGGTCGAATCCACCAGCACCCATTGTTGGATCGTTTGGATCGCCAGTCCGTGGCGTCCAAGAGTAAAGCTGTGTCCCCCAAACATGACATTTTGTGGGATGTGCAGGGTATGTTCTCTTTAGATTCAGAAGTCCAAGGAAAGCAGAGAGTGCGGTAGTACGTTCCCGCATCTAGAAGTCATCTAGACAAGGAGTTCCCCTCCATATTGTGGAGACATTTTTAGATTCTATACTGTAGATTGTTCTTTATTATTATGAGGACCTCTTTTACTGGGATGTGGGTGAAAACAAGTTTTTGCTAGCTAAATCGATGAAGTTGCAAACATAATCGCTCTTAGGTGGCATGGTCATTGATCATGGCTCTCAAGAAGGGGCAAGCTGCGAGACTGGTTGTAATTTTGTATGTTTGATACATGTTTTGGCTTGAGTAGTGAAGGCGCCGCCGGCAAGATGGGAGAGAGATTGCTTAGCAGGCAGATCCTTAGCAGGCAGGTCGAAGCAGCTACATTCATTCCCGACTTCGGGCGAAGCTGAGGCTTGAATGAGTCGTTGAACTATGACAAGGCAGGTATCATCATTGACCCAGTCCATGCCTGACCTGCAAAAAGCTTTGCTATCGGGAGAGGGAGGGGGTTGGGTTGAATCACGCAAAATGAATCGGAACAAGGATAAACTGATTGGGTCGGAAGGCCGTGGCCACAAGCTTGTGGACGGCTACGAGACATAGCTTCAGTGTGTTGCTAAGTAGAAGGAATATGTTCTTAGACAAGCCCGCCAGGTGGGTGAGCTTCTCTTGAGCTCTGGACCCATTGGAGAGGCGGGAGGGAGCTCGAGCCTTCGATACGACGGGAGGAAGGTGGCGTTCAGGGTTCGCTCAGGTTCATGTCGTGGGTATTTGGAAGAGATCCTCGGATTTGGGAATCCTTCACTTCTGAGATCTTCTGAGCTTCTCAGCAATTCGTGAGATGTATTCGACGAGGATTGCGGAAAGTGGTGGAATATGGTCAAAGGACCAAAATTGGGACCTGAATCATAGCTGCAGTATAGATAGATAGATGTTTCTGCAAATCGATTCTGTTGTTGAGGCCTTTGGGCGATTCGGATTGCACGTGATTTAGACAGTCTTTTAACGTACTCAGCACGCCTCGAGCGGGGGGTGACAGGCTTCCGTTGGCTTCCGTTGGATGTTCTTTGTTTGCCAGCTGGGTGCGGCAGGTTTGTAAAGAATGTCTGAACCGATGATGTTTTGGCCGTTGTTTACTGGAAAGGACTTTACCCTATAGGATGTCCTATGTATACAGGTGAATCAGTAGGTGAATCCACTATCAAACCTTTGAATCGAACTGAAGGAACTGTGAAGAGTCAGAACCCCTCTGCAGCACCTGCAAACATTTGCAAGCGGTACGCAGTGGTACCCGGTGGAGGGAACACTGGTTTCCCACCAACCGTCACCGGAAACCTGAGGGCTTTGGGCAGACACGACGAGGAGATTCAGACCTGGCGGCCTGATGATCTTCGATTCCCCCGGTGTTTTTTTGCTGAATGGGCCAATGAGTAACGACCCCATAAAATTATGTCGGGCACGCCAGCCATAGATACAAGGAGCCAAAATAGTTTTATAAAGCAAAAACAAAGCAAAAAAAAAGCAAAAGGCAAAGCAAACAAAAAAGCAAAAAAATGTAGCTGTGCGTATTTGTCGCTTTTTTTTCACGTTTTTTTCGCTTTATTTTCGCTTTTTTTCGCTTTATTTTCGCTTTTTTTCGCTTTTTTTTCGCTTTTTTCCTAGGAGGGTACAGCAAAAACATATTTGTCGCTTTTTTTTCACGTTTTTTTCGCTTTATTTTCGCTTTTTTTTCGCTTTATTTTCGCTTTTTTTCGCTTTTTTTT